ATTTGCACATTAAAAACAATATGCATGTGGTTATAAAGTAAGGTCACACTCATTTAAAAAAAAAAAAATCAAAATGAAATAGGTTATAAAATGTGAACTAAAACCCTGATTTCAATTTCACTAAATATGTTCTCTCTTTACAAAACACAAGTTTATCATTTCTTTCTGAGAAAGAAATAAAGTTTTACTAAGATTTTAAGTTTTATGTTTAAGCTTTTCAAATGAAGTGTTTACTATTATTATTATTAAATTACTTGATAGGAAATATGTGATAGAGCTGTACAGTATACTGCCTGGTATAAATGATGCCTACTGTATATAGCGGTCAATAATGTGATATACAGTAGAATGGAAATAAAGCAAGCCTTAAGATTGTGCCACTCTGTTTCCATTTGGTTTCTATGACTCTGTCAGAATGATGTGGAGTCCATTGACTGTGCTGCTGCTGCTGCTGCTGCTGCTGCTGCTGCTGACACTGGGCCAGGAATCACATAAAGCCAGCATCACATCCAGTGATAGATGCCTATATAACTTGGTGGGAATGGTGGAGGAGCTGACGATCAATCAGCAGCTTCAGACTTTGCTCCGAATGAATTAAATCAACTCTGTTTCAATTAAATCACTAGCGCTTTGCAGTCCCGCTGAGGCACGACCATCGACCACCATGCGGACAGTTTGAAACTAAACTTTAAAGCAGGACTATTGGGACACAACGAGTCCAACGGGCAAAAACTTTACTGCCGCAGACACGGAAACTTAATAGAAGGAAGCTGATGTTGCAAGAAACAAAGAAAAAAAAAATCTTATTTAGCAAAATAAATCTAATCCACCAGTCACTGCTGCCCCCTGCAGTTTATAAATTATAGGACCTGGTTGTTTCCTGTGTCTAGGTCTAGGTCCCTGTCAATCTATAACAGATATGGGCAAACTACGGCCCGTGGGCCAGAAACAGCACACTGGGCTTTCTAATCTGGCACGCCAAACACTGGTACAAGGTATGGTAAAGATGTCAATCCTTCAGACTTCAAATGTGGCAACGTTTCGTTGAAAGTTTAGGTTTATTTATATTATTTGGCACAGCATTCCACATCCAACCAATACTGAACCGACCCACTGGTCAAATTGTGAAACTCATTTTGGCCTGTGAGCCAAAAGGTTCGCCTGTGTCTATTCTATAAGATCGTTTCACTCTGTCCACCTGCGTCTAAGAAACTTTTCCTGTCTTGCGTTCCATAAAATGAAGGTCCAAAATTTCAATCTCTGACTAGCAAATGATCACTTGAATGCCACGCCAAGTCAAAGACAGTGTTGATGGAAACATAAAACACAAAAAATAAATATTCAATACATCAACCATAAATGGAACCCAACCAACCAGTGATCTTGTTGCTGTAAAAGCTAGCGTTCAAACACCATTTTCCACTGTGTGGACCTGTAATTTCATTAGTAGATTATAAATAAACAGCATGGCAGCAAAGTGCTTCAGTTGTCCTCTCAGAGCTTCACTATTGTGCTCCTGCAGTGGTTTGAAAAGTGAATACAATTTGTTATTCTGAACTGCTTTAATCAAAGTAGAGGCCTTTCTCAGCAGCGTCCCATCTTCCATTGAACATCTCCAAAAATGTGCCTTTTTAAACAGACCGTCTCACTATCGCAGCTCCACAGATATCTGATGAGGTGAAGAAAAGCACAGTCTGAGTGGTTCAAGCAGCCCGGTGAAAGACAATTATGTTTGATATGTCTTGAATGATTTATTGTGTTCACGACGACCAAAGATGCAAAAGACAGCGGCGTCGAGTGAAGATGTGTGGAGGCAGCGGAGTGTGGTGGTGCATACTGAGTGGCTGTCAGGAACAGGTATCATCATGTCACCTCCATGCCACCAACAAACCTTCTTCACTTTAGTCAAGGCTACTTGAGTTTCAAGAATTAGCTCACAATTGTTGGAAAAAAGAAATTTGGTTTGACAGAAACATTCATGTGGCCTCTGGGAAGAGTTGTTTTTTAATTAAAAATTGGAAATAAACCAAGGACAACTAAGGGCTGAAAGAGTTAAATATATTTTTTTTATGGCCCGACTAACTATTCTAGTAACAGCAACAGTACTAGACCGTACACAAAAAGGACAGAATTAACAATGAAACTAAATATCCAGGTGATATGAGCTCAACTATTTTTCTTTTTCTTCTTGTTGTTATATATTTAATCCCCCCTCAGGATTTCAATTTCCTTCTCTGCTGATTTTATTTAATGGTTTTTGCTGTAGCTCCGTTCTGTTTTGCTTACTCTTCCAGATGACAAGGCCTCCAGACTGGATTACAAGCAGACCTAGGTGAAGGTAGCTCTCAGCCTGTGTGAAGCTGCAATTGCTTCTTGAATCAGAGTGACAGGGCGCCTGGAGCTTCTCTCAGGGACTTTTGCTCCTCTCTCTCTCTTTCACTCTCCACTTGAACAAAAGAGCAGCCACACGCTGCTTTCTTCTTTTCCACCAGAGGGCTATTTTACAAAAGAATTCTCTTTTTTCACCAGTTCTGTAACTTTTTTTTGTTTCATTCTAGCCTCCCCGCTGCTCAAGGCAACACAGACTGGCCTGTGCTGTGAATGTGAACTGCATCAACATTGTAAACATCACAACAGATGGCAGCGAGGACTTATGTCAGATTATGTCCCCTTCAGCACGAAGCACAGCTCGGCCAAGAGGGCTGTGCTTACTGTCCAGCAAATTCAAGTGCTGACCACGGTTGTTGGACGCAGGTCAAAGCGACTGTTTAGGGATGTGCTCCATGTTTGTCTATGATAGCTGCTGGCAGATGTACTCAAGTGTTCAGTCTGTTGAGTCTCCGGAGGGACTTGAACTCTGTCTGTGTCAACCATCGAGCAGATGTCCGTGGGAATGGGAAGAAGACAAGTGGCAACAAACATGTTCCAGACAAGTTTCATCCAGAAAGCCTAGAATGTTCACAAATGCTATTCCAGACTTGGGATTTTTAATTACTAGCTAGTGACGAGAGCCAACCCTTCACTTCCTGCTAGCATTAACGTGCCTTTAATCAGTGTGCTCAGATTTACTAACGGCCATGACGTGGGGACGTCATCAATAGAGGGAAGGAAAGCACAAATGCTATTCCAGACTCGGGATTTTTAATTACTAGCTAGTGACGAGAGCCAACCCTTCACTTCCTGCTAGCATTAACGTGCCTTTAATCAGTGTGCTCAGATTTACTAACGGCCATGACGTGGGGACGTCATCAATAGAGGGAAGGAAAGCTGTCATTGTGACACAGCACACCACTGCACACAACCAAATGTGACCTCTGCTTTTAACCCATCACCAAAGTGAGCAGTGGGCAGCTTTAAGCACCTGGGGAGCTGCATGTGATGTCAAACAAGTCACCTAGCAAACGTCCTGTGGACTCGCCAATCAGAATAGATTAGCGAGCATGCTAGCAATTCCAAGAAATTGGAGCATCGGGAGCCAGTTCTGATTCCCATCTCCAGTGAACAAATAGTAAAGTCTGTTTAGGGACAAATATTGAACTAATGAATTGACTGACTAGCGTTGGTGTGTGTATGGCTGACAACGAGTGTCAGGAAGTGAGAGTCTGTCACTACCTCTTATTTCTGTGCCATCTGGCACTGGCTCTGCCTGTTCCAACATTCCCTTGTCAAACACAATTAAAGGAGTTCCCGTGATGTGCAACCATTGACTAATATTGCTGCGGCCAGATGAGCGGGCCGGGCTCCAGGAACACTCTCCTCTGTTGCTTCATCAGCTCAATAAAGTAAAAAGATGTTCTGTCTCCTGTGTGGCAAGTGGAGGCCCAGACAAAATAAACCAACAAATGCTGCCGCTCTCTCTCCAGGCTTCGCAGATATGAGTTTGTGGCGATGTTTGAGTTGTCAGTCAGAAATTGCTTTCGCTTTGTCAAAAAAACAAAGATGAAAGAACTCAGACATAAATGCAAATTAAAAGTTAGAAAAAAAAAGAGCAGAGGCGGTTGCAGAGGGACAGAGAATCACATTTAAATCCTCTGTACTCTCTCTGATCTTTAGAGTAAATATACACATACACAGCTACAAAAAGGGGAGAAAATTAGATCATTAATAGGAATGCCAGGGCAGTACATTTTTGGCGTTTTTTTTTTTTTTTTAACGTTGGTAAACAACGTAAACAAGAACTGGGCAAAGAAGATAAGCAGGCGGCCCAAAAAGCTGCTCTCAGCCAACATGGGCCACTAATCTGTCAGGTCTTCAGAGACATCACTGTAGGAGGAAGAAAGTGACTGAAGACGCTAACAGTCCATATGTATGACTCAACATATACAGCATAAGTTTGAGAACGCATGACATCGTTGTGCTCCCATTCTGCATAACGATGTTGTGTGAAAACACACTCACAAACAGCAGCACATGACGCTCCATGACTTATCAGTGAATTTATTATGACTTTCTATAAATAACCCCGCTTCATTTGGCTTTGTCAAATCTTTCAAGTACGAGCATTGCATCATTCCACGGAAAAGGACTGGATCCAAAGGGAGCCGCTTCTGCAGCTGCTTGTTTTGGGCATTAAAGCTCCAGGAAGCGGCTTTAATGGGATTGCTCGTCACTTGCCTCTAGCCGTGGCACTGGAGTTGAGTTGCTTCTTAGTGGAGACGAGAAGAAACCAAGCCAATTTTTTTTTACACCATTGCCAAGACACCCAATTCCACCAGGCCTTGGCTGCTGATAGATTGTGTGTGGACCAGCTGATGTTATCTTAGAAAGGCCCTGCTGTAGAAGAGGAGTCAGCCGAAGAGCCCACTACCAAAGACATTGACTGATCTCACTATAGTACACCAGGGATGAGCTATGGATAACATAGATGCTATAGTGTTGGAAACCTTCCTAGATCTAAGGGGAATTGTAACGTCCTTTACCAGAGTTTAAGCAAACATGGAAAAAAGTAAAAGATAAAACTTAAAATGAAAAAAATTGAAGTAAATAAACGATGGACTCACCAGGAGCTTTGTAGAAGCCGACATCCTCTTCACTCAGAGGCAGAAGGTAAACTTCACCTTCCTTCCACAGCAGGGGGTACTCTTGCCCCTCAGAGAACCCTCCCACCCAGCCGTCCTGATCTGAGGACGAGAGGAGACGTTAGTGAAACAGTTACGACACGGACGCCGGAACAGTTTGAATGTCTGCCTTTACAGGAGAAAGTTCAACAGTGTTAAAGTTTAATATGTACCAAAAATAACAACAAAAAAACAACATATATACACACACATATATACTTTAACATATACTTTATATATATATATACACATACACGCACATATATGTATATACATACTGTATTTCTCATTGGTTTGACTTCACTCCACACGCGACACAGTGTTTATTAACAGACAGATCATCATCTTCCTTTGTTGTTCAACACTCTGGAGGGTCATTTTCCTGTTTGGTACATAGATTCTTACGTCTGTCTCTCCACATAAAACTACATTTGGACTCCAGAGCAGATTTCAATTTTTTTTTTCCATAATAAACAAGCTCAACCATCTAATCGTGACATTTAATGCTGCTTCTTTCTTTATGCAAAGTGCAGTTTAAGAGAACATGGAACACAGATTTCAGTTGTGTCACATTTGTGTGAAGCATAGTACAATTCTGGAAACTCGTTCTGTAAATCAGGAGTGTATAAACATGTCTGGTGGTTGTTTTTAAATATATTTCATTAAAGTGAGACCTTATAGTGTTGTTACCTTCATAAAAGTCAGAGGTAATGTTGGTAGCAGAATAGAGGCTGGCTGAAGTGCAGGCGACAGAGTGGCCGAAGCAGAAACAAGGCTGGCAACCTGCTGGGTTTTCTTCTCCCAGGTTGAAAAATCCTGGTTTGCATCTGTTGGTACATGAAAAGACACTATTTTCACTAATCGCTCTCTTGAAGTATAGTTCTCCATGCTGCAGTTCTGGTCCCCTGGAGAGTAAGGGGAGCTTAGATGTAAAGCCCACGACCTTTGACCTGCAGACACAAGCATCCTCACAGGTGGAAAAAAAACCTGCTAAAAATCAGGCGCAACACGAGTTACATTACACGGAAAAAGAGCCAGCTCGATGAGGCATGAAATCAGAAAGCAAAAATAAATAAATAAAAAAGAGACACCGACAACAAACATTAAACTCAGAATAATTCAGTAGCTGCAGACCTGATGCAGACCTTAGGCTGTGTGCACTGGTAAAGAAGCTCACACACAGGCAGAAGCTGAGCCTTGGTTACTGTCATTCCCTTCCTGATGTTCAGCTGCACCTGTAGGATTTACTTACACATCTGCTGGGACAAACGGGAGTACGCAAAGGGTTTCTGGGCATGTGTGGTACGTGATATTTAATACATACCTGCTTTTTTGTCTTCTTCTTCAAAATTGTGTAAAATAAACATGTGAAATACATCCAGATAGTCAGAAGCTCACCCACAACAATATTAAACAATTTTCTAATACCCTGGGGTTTGGGGCTATTTTATTAATGCCTCTGAACTGAAGGATCTCACCTCCCTGTGGTCTCCCTGTGACTCCCACCCCATTGGGGGCTGCATGACATTCGGAAGTGTGTTACCCTGACATTTTTTAAATTCAAAATAAAGCCTTTGCCTTATATTGTCGTTGACCTTTAGGTGCTCAACATTTGCTTTAAATAGTCGATAAAGGAGACGGCTGCAAATATACCTTTGCCTTATATTGTCGTTGACCTTTGGTGCTCAACATTTGCTTTTAAATATAGGGCATTTGGGAGAAACATACACCTACTGAACATATATATGTATATGTACATATATATATTTACATATAATATATATACATATATATTTACATATAAATGTGTATGTACATATAAATATATGTACATATACATACAGTATATAGATCATTATATAGATATATAACTATATCTAAATATTTACTTTTTTTATATATCCATTTTTTTAGGCTTTTCATATGCTTTTATATATAATAATAATAGTATGAGGTGAAAAAACTGAGAAAATACTTCTAAAAATTAAATGCCCCCTTATTAGAAATGGAGTTTCTATTGACAATATGCTGATTCATACTGTCTGCCTTATACACACACCTGCACTCTGTTGAAGTGACACACTATAGGCTGGATTATCAACCATGGCTTTATTTTGGTGAAATACAGAATAAAGTATTTCTGTCTTTATCCTGTCCTTTAAGATCAAGTCTCAGATATGATCAAAAACATTCAAAATAAATAATCAACAGAGGGAAAATTATGCTTTGCTTTAAGAAAACACAATAATGAACAGACAAAACACACACCTGTCGCATCTTTGTCCCTCCACATTTGCCTTGCAGTCACATCGTCCGTCCAGAGGGGAGCAGTCGCCTACAGATCCACCGGAGTAGCAATCACATGGTCTTCAAACAGAACGTTAAAATAAAACTGAGGATTAATTGACTTGGTGGTGACTTCTTCATTTCAAGACAAAAGCTTTAAGACCTTCTTTGTTGCCCTCTAGTGGGGTGTCATGTTCAATGACTGCTTTTGTCAATACTGCAGTCTTTTTGGTTCTCAGCAGAACATGTGCACTTTTAACAAATGATCAACAAACGCAAAGTCACGCCTGACAGCGCGTCATCCATCATGCAAAATTTAAAGGTTGTGCAAACTACCTTGATAAAATCAAGCGGGTAGGTGTTTGGGTCAGCAGCGTCTCCAATTACGTCAAAGTGTGTTTGATCATCTTCATTGATTGATCACTTTTGTTGTGTGGCAGAATCTATTTTTAATGAGCTGCTATTGCAAATAATCAAATTACCTCAAGACAAGCTGTCTCTGCTTATTTCTGCTCCAGTGGTTTGAGTAATTCATACCACAACTCAACACATTCTGCCTTATGAATAAAAGAAAGTTCGATTTACAGTATGTGTGTGTTCACATATTTGCGCGCACACACACACACAGGTCGATACTTGACTTTTGAAAATGTTGCACAAACTGGTGAAAATTAAAGAAACAAAAATAAAGATTTCATGTTTTGTGGTGAAAACAGAACGTTCTACAGCAGTGATTTCCAATAAAAGCAGCCTTCGTCTTGAACATCACCGTAAACGACCGCCATTGACGTGTGCAGCCACGTGTGGCCGGGTGAAATGAAGTACAAACACAGGAGTGAGGAATGACAAATCCCCTCCTCAGCACGTATGGTAAGTGCTCACTAACGTCCCCTTGCACGTCAGATGTGGAACAAAAAGACGGTGCATTTGTTGTGGTTTTTTTACTTTTTATGAACTCTGAGAAGTTCACACGTCAGCTTACGACATTAATTATTTACTATATTTTAAACTGTTTGATGCTCTGAGTAAATCTGCTGAGTTCAATACTTAACTATGAGTTCATTATGAGTTCATTACTGTCACTGACTATTTTTTTTACTATGCACAGATTTTAATGTATGTACAAAGGTGACAGAAGGAGTAAAACAAATTTGATTTTCTAAGTCAAATCCACACCTTTTTTTTTCTCTGATCTGTTTACCAGTCAGTTCTACCTGCTGTCAAGGAAACCATGGTTACAGGTGGTGGAGAAAATAATATTAAACCCAAACAATCATTGATATGCGATTCAGCACCATCACAATATTCCCTCAGCAGGTAGAACAGGTCAGGGAGAGCTGAGATGGTATATGAATACAAATGGTGCATCATACTTGCTGCTATATGAATACAAATGGTGCATCATACTCCCTGTAAACCCACAAACACACACACACACACACACACAGACACACACACAGATGAATATTATATACATTTAGATCCAGGCTCTTATACATACGCACTTAGCAAAAAGCTCTCAGGTCAGAAAGAGTTCAAATTCACTTTTCATCATGGTAATGAATGCAGCAGGTTAGTGAATCTGCACTCTGTCAACAACAGAAGCTGAAAATGTGTGTGTGTGTGTGTGTTCACGGACTACTCCGACTTTGCCTTTTGTAAAACTGATTTAGTATAAATGACTCAAAAATGGCACTATGTAGAGCTCAAGCTCCATTAGCGGCGCTTCATTTAAAATGGCAAACACTATTGATAAAAACATTGAGTGCATGTGGCAACCACTCTACCTCACAGTTCTAACTAGTAACATATATGGATATAAAACCTGGCAACAGTTAACCTTCTAGAACATACGTGTCAAACTCAAGGCCCGGGGGCCATGTGCGGCCCGCCAAGCGGTTTTGTGTGGCCCGCGGGAGCTTAAAAAGCATTTAGTAAAGTCCATGCATATCCATGAGTTCCTTAACCTGAGTAAATAAAAGTTTTTATAATGAATCAAATAATAATCAATTGCAGAAACACGAATTAGTCTGTTATGGAGTAGTTACATCTATACCAGTGGTCCTCAACCTTTTTTGTTCCAAGGACTGGTCAGTCAGTACCACCTGTTACTACAGACCAGTACCAAGGTGCTGAGCATTGAAGGATCATTACATTTTCAAAAGAAAAGATCTTTTAGACTCTATTCTGTTTGTATCAGAGTCTGAATGAGATATTATTTCATATTATTACCAGATATCTTTAAATAAAGGGAGTAAATGGATATGACAGGTTTCTGAATAAAGTAAATTAGTAAAAATTAAGTAAATTTTTTCACTGTGTCCCAATGCGGCCAAATGACCAATGGACTGGTACTGGTCCGCAGACCGGTGGTTGGGGGCCCCTGATCTATACAGTCTTCCATTTACAACCGGCCCTTCAAAAAGAACTGTATTGCTAACGTGGCCCCCGGTGAAAATTTGACATTTTCCTGTTTGGTTTGACACCCCTGTTCTAGAAGGATGCTACTACGACCATTTTTCCCCCCCTCAATTAGGATGTGTTCAGCCTTTTCTGACAGTGACTCAGTTGTTAAATCATTCTCTTGTTCTTTTGATAGTTAAAAATGAAGACTTAAGTGAACCCCCAAAATTTGCAATGTATAGTAGATTTTATTGCAGTTTTATGAATATTTCATATTTGGCATTTGTGTCCCTGTGTCTCTACACACGGAATCCTGCTCAACTTTCTGCATCTGTTTTGTATTTTTTCCCTGACCCAGATTCTGCCAGGAGTAATTACTACTGTACTGACTGCATGCATATTGACCTACGTCTGCAAGACTATATCAAACAAGTGACTGTTAAAGAGGCATGCATACCAGTATTAAAATGGCACTTGTTCAGCTGCGAAACGAGCACTTGAAATTGACAAAATCAAGTCACCACTAAAATAAACCACTGCAATGAGCAACGGTGGAGCTGAAAGTTTGTCATGAAAATAAAATATGACAAATGTATAAGTCTTGCTAAAAAAAGGAGCTTGTGTTTGCGAAGCACATTAACATGCAGGAGAAGGTGATATTTTGAGGTTTCTGTTGGGTGTTGGCAGCAGCTAAAGCTGTTTGCCAAAGTTTCTGAAGGCTGTGATGCTGGGTCCAGTCACCATGGCAACAGATGGAGGAGGCTACTTGGTCCCTGGCTGGGTTCTTCAAATGCCTCTCCTGTTGGCGAGGATGGCAGGGTGACCAACCAAAACACTGACCATGTGCAGCAGAGCAAAACCTACGATGGCTGTTTTCAGTGTTCTGGTTTCTCTTAGTTCTAACAAGACTTTTAACATAGTAGAAAAATAACAAAAAACATATATTTTAACAAGACTTTTAACATAGTAGAAAAAGAACAAAAAACATATATTTTTTTAAACGTGCTGTAAATTCCCAGTTTGGAATCCAGGTAATTCACAGTGTTGTCACATAGAGGAAGGAAATTAAATCTGTTTATGTTTGCTTTGATAAATTCACGCTAAGGAAAATTGGACGGTTGGTGAAAAACAGTGGGATTCTTTCAGGCGTTCTGTCTCCACCTACTTGGTGCAGCTGGTTAGTTAGGTAGTTCGTTTGTGTGTGTCCTTGAAAGGCCTGGCTTTTGGCCAAACCCTGTTATATTCTCCTCATTTTGATAGTGTTTTAGTGCAGCTCACCTGCAGCCTCCCTGATCAAGGGAGTGAAAGCCGGCCTGACAAGTGTCACACTTTTCCCCGGTGACACCCAAACGACACGGACACTTTCCTTCGTCGTCACACTGAAGACTCGCCGAGCCTGAAAGAGACAGAAAATGGATGGTGCAGAAAGAGATGGGACAGAGATGAATGAAAGGAGATGGGAAAGAAAAAAAGGATTTCTGATTTAATAAATATTTATCATCTATTGCAGGCATGAGCAAAATATGGTCCGGGGGCAAGATATGGCCTGTAAGGCTTTTTAACTTGTCCCAAAGATATAATTAAATCATATTATCATAAGACTGCTGTCATTCTGTCTCATCCCTGGGATGTCTGTGTTTCCCCAACAGATGGCGCACTGCAGGGGTGAAATGTTTTACTCTTGTCTTCACTGCTTGGCTTTGCCCTTTGTTTGAATTTGCATCCCTTCAGTAAAAATGACTGGGTCAAAGAGAAGAACATTGGACAGTGAGTGCAGAGTGTCTAAGACGAACTGGACCACAACGAGCAGTAAAGACTAAAATTATTTATGTTTGAAATTTATCTTAATCCACATAAACACCCCATCTATTTGCTCCTGTTCCGCCCGCCCCGTCAAACATTAGAACCCAATGTGGCCTGTGAGTCTAAAAGTTCGCCCACTCCTGATCTACTGAGATCTTTGATGAGAGCTCCAATGACGAGCATGTAGGTGTGGATCCAGCCTTCAGACATACAGTAGCTGACATAACAACGCTTTGGTTAATGGAGAAAAAAGCTCCACCGGGGCAACGTGAACACGAAAAAAAGGGATGTCTGATGGAGTCAGCTTTAACCTTTGATCAATATAATGGACTCCAACAGCTCTGTGTAATCAGCTCATGCTGTTTGGGAAACACAAAGGGAAGGATGCTGTAGCTAATGCTTTTGTTGGTTTTCCCTCTGGTTTTTTCTTTCTTTCTTCACAATGAGGATAAAGTAATTAGGAACCAAAACATTAACTGACCTGTTGCTAAAAGTAAAACAGTTAAATGAGCATCACGTCACTCTGCTGAGATCTGTCAGTTAACTGTATCAGCTTACAACAGTGGGACTCCAAAAAACTTTGGATTTCTTCATGAAGGTAGTATGGAGCCCCAAAAGGACATGAAACGTTTCTAGTGCGCACAAGAAAGTATCTTGGTGTCACTAGAAACGTTTAATTTATTTTTTCCATGTCTTTTAGGGCCTCTGTAGGGAAGCTAAGACAAGAAATCGGTTGATTTGCAAAAACTAAACTAAAATAAATTATAAATTGGGACAAAACTCTACTGTGGAGTTTGACTAATTACTGAAGAATCCCTTTTAAATTTGATCAACTCTGGCTGTAAAAGTTGCAGCAATTCCATTTCTCACTGACTTAGTTTCTACCTGCAGTCAAGTCCTGCTTCATGTGGACGTCACAGTTTAACCGACGGTGTATGAAACTGTCGTCACTGTAGGTGCGGTCTTTGCTGCTCCTACCTTTGACGTTGCAGTTGCAGGGAAGGCAGACGTCGGAGGAGGATTTCCTGTAGTGATTCTCCAGGCAGCGTTCACAGTGGGGTCCGTCAGTGTTGTCCCTGCAGTTCGTGCACCGCCCCCCACTGCCTGTGCTGCGGTACTGCTCCGTGTCAAACACGCACTCGTCCGATCTGCCGCTGCAGTTGCATTCTGGGAGACAGGGAGGGAAAGCAGGAAGGGAGAGAAGGAGCAAAAGGTCAAGTGAGGAGAGACATGGAGAACAGAGGATGAGGAGTCACAGGGGGAGAAGCAGACAGAAGGTAAAAGGAAGGAAGACAAAAATAAACACAGGGGAGGGACATGGAGGAGGGAATGATCATGTGTGTGTGTGTTAGAGATTATGCGTTCTGGGATTGGATCATATTTTACAGGCTCATTGCTAATCTCATTTCACACCGGCCTAATGAGGAGCCAATCGGCTGTCAGGGGGCACTTAGATAGCAGTAATTCATGTTTATACAAGAGCAAATTACTCAGCTGATATCACACCATCACCCTCACATCAAATCCCTCCTCAGTTTACCAGTTGCCCTGAGGAGGGATTTAGGTGAAATTGCCCAATTTATTATGAATCAAGATATCTGTTGTGTTGGTAAAAAAGAACATGATTATTCATCCATGCTAATGAGGAACCCAAGTAAACTCACCTTGAAAAATTAAAAAGTGGTTATGAGTTGCTTCAAAGCAAAAATAAACAAATATGTAATTAGCAGAGAAGGTGGTTAATTTGGTTCATTTTGTTAAATTCATTTTGCATAAATTAAAGCCTAATTGGTTGATAACAGTTCACCTGTGGTAAGAAAAAAAAGAACAAAACAAAACATTCATATTCTGTTACTGGTCTGCTGCTGTGAATCTGTTCTGAAAATAATTGCCTTCACAGAAACATAATTGCCCTCACATAACGTTCACAGGAAATTTCCTGTGCGACCGTCAAAGAAGTTCTGAATTTCTGTATCTACTAATGTCAGGTGATCTGGCTGTGTGGATGAAATACCTGATACTGCTTAGCACTGCTTTTTGAGGTACTGATAATATATATTTTATCCTAAAGTTAGAAATTATGATCAATAATTCTAGTAATAATATCTAGTAAAACTTACTAAAATATATTTGTCAACACCTGTTGACCTGACACGATGTTACAGACGCTATTAATACTTAACGAAAAAAGTGCTGGTTAAAATGAGCTATTAATACTTAACGAAAAAAGTGCTAGTTAAAATGACATTGTGGTTATAGTATTAATAATATATAGTATTAAGTATTTTTAATTTTTTTTTAAAGTAATGTGACAATGGTGTAAAAGCTCTGCTCACTTTCTGTTCAGTTGTCTGTGTTAGCGATGTTTGTTTTTACTTTTACTCATATATTTTACATTATTTTTCATTTACTTTATCATTAGTTTTTACTCAGTTTTTACGGTTTTAGTTTCAAGGCTTTTTGTTTAATACAGATTATTTTAGATACTTTTTGCTTGAATTTGTGTCATGATAATGAAAAGAAAAAACTATCTGTGTGTAATTTCCTGTCTGTGGTTTCAGTTGGGTTCAAACCCACACACTGCACCTCCACTGTCACCCACACAGCTGTGCCATCTACTGTATAATTACACTGCCTTCCATTCAAGTGACAGTACTCAGTATGAGTACAGAATGAAAATGCATGTACGTGTTGGTTTTTTGTTTTGTTTTTTTCAAAAATTTGTATCAGGACAACTATGACAAGAACATATTTCAAATTGTAGGATTATTTAGAAAAGGTTAATTATTTTTATTTAGTAAATATTTTATGATGGTCTTATCTTTCTATTCTACAAGTCACATGTTCCTCTTCAACTCCCGACTGCAAAACTCTTAATGTTTTTCAATAAACCTTCTGTCAATGCCAAACAGCAACATGAGGGCTACTACGATTCAGAAAATTGTACCCACAACCCTCTGGATAAAACATGACCTTATGTGCTATTGTCAGTCAACGTTGCCCCGTGGACATATTTGCACTAATCAATTTGCTGACACTGAGGAATGTATTACATAGACATATTACAACAGAGTAAACAAAACATCATTTCCACGTCCTCTCCTGCTACATCTCTGTCATCGAAGACAGTTCCATAAAACACATCGACTGTTCCTGGAATGGTAGCTCTGACAAAACGAACGGGAGTGGAAACCTGCAGAACTGTGGAGTGGTTCATGTAATCTTCTGAACACAACACGTGTCATTTGGCCAATGTTGAGTATCTTGTTATCACGTCTCTGATTGCTCTGCCCATGGGGCAACAGAAGTTGATGTGAAAAAAAAAAAAAAAAGTAACAGCTGAATTTTCTGTCTGCCAGTGACAGGTAGAACAAGGAAATGGATGCACTTTTATTTTTATCTTATTAAAGTAGTTTTGTCTCTGCACCAGTGATTTCTTCAGAACCAGGTGTTTTGTATCCTTCAGCAAGGTGAAACTTTTATAATGACACAAATGAGATTTAGCCCATTGCATGCCAACCTTTTTGTCTTGTGTACCACATCGGTGTTGGTCATATTATCAGCAGCCTGTACTAATAATTGTCAGAAAAGTGGTCACATATAAAAACATAACAAATGATAAAGACACAAACAAAATTAAAAAAAAAACTATTTTGTGATAACATCAATGAAAAAAAATCCATTATCCTCCGAAGAGTCTAAATTCGCAGTTCTGCATCTAAAATCCCGTTTAGGATGAGAAACATTAAAAGTAATGATTTTACGTAATGACCTTTGATATAAAAATAATCAAGCTACTTTTCTGTGTAGCACAAAGGAAATTAAAATCATTAAAATAACTCTCACTCTCTGCCCTTGTGTAAAACGACTTCTTCTACAAGATACTTTTCAAAACAAACTGAACAAAGACACATTTTTCTTCTAAATCTGTAATCATACAAACAAAAAACTCACCGTGAAGAAATAATTTAATTTAAATAAGTCCTGATACAACGGTTCGACATTAAAACTAAAAGCGACTGAGACAAAATAAAACATAAAACCAAGTTTCTTTTAAAATAACAATCAAATAAAATTCATTTTCTGGGAACCCTTCAAAGCCCTCGTGTACTACTAGGTACGAGGTCTGTACACCCACGGTTTGAAAAGACTATGCTGTCCATGAGTTTACAAAGCTTTGACGAAAACCTTTAACAACTCATGGTTTAAAAAGGTTAAGAATTGCAACCCTGAGTAAGAAAATTCATTTTATCCATAATTTTGAAATAAGCCTAAGGGCAAACTGCACAGCGAGTACAGATGAACGGTACATTTGCCCATGTTTAAATTACCTGCTGTTCCCACTTCATTACCCAGCTCTTTACTTATTCCTATCTATTTTTCTGTATGTCTGAGAAATTTCGCACCAAAGGTCGGCAGGAAAAAAAATCCAAGTTAAATTAGAAGAAAGAGTTCAAACCAACGTTTCACAGTGTCTTCAAAAACCTGGATATTTATAAAACGTATAAATATTCACACTGATAACACTAATCACACTAATCAAACGTAGCTGCACTACGTTTGATTATCATATGGAATGTCAAGGTCAAATGATGACTAAATATCACACAGCTACACGATAGCTGCTAATCACCTTGTTGTTGTTTTTTACAGGGAAGACATTTACATGACGATTCCTTCACTTCAATTTCACACCGTTGAACACAAACAGCCATGTCAAATCAGTCTTCACACAGCACTGCTGTTGGGATACTTTAGTTTGAGTGGCTCTCAAACTGTGGTACGCGTACCACCAGTGGTAACTGAGCGCTCTCTCGTGGTACGTGGGGAAAATTCATATTTTCACATTTACATTTTTAGTTGATCTCTCCTGATCAACTAATCTCTCCTGTGTGGTGGAAGCTAACAGTGAAGGCCTACGCTGCTGTATTCTAATGTTGGTCATCATGGTGGTACTCAGAGAGATCAGTGTTTTCTCAGGTGGTACAGAGTAGAAAAAGTTGGAGAACCACTGCTTTAGAAAATTACATTCCTAACAAAAATGCATTTCAGGGTCAGAAACAAGTCAACGTGCCTGAGGACAAAATGTTATTGAAATACTTGAATCAGAGGTGTAGGAGAAAAATGTCATTGTCAGCTAAGAAATACAGTAGGTCACTATATACTGACATCTCGGAGACAAGACGTCAGTGTGTCGGCAGAACTTCCAAGAAAACACCTTCTATAGCTGGTGTAAAATAAACAATGATGGGGTGGAAATCCAAGCTGCTCCTACTGTATAATGTGAGTCGGTCCTTTTTTTTTTTCTCTTTGTCTCTAAAGAAGGACTGTACAATTAATTTAATCTCATGTATAATTCCCTCTTAAAATGACATGAACTTGAGGCCATAAAGGAAAATGCACACAGTCATCTATATTTCTGAGGGGCTGCTTTGCCTCTCATCTCAGTCAGCCTGCTCCCAGTGAACCTGCGAGGGGCAGAGTTATCCTCCTCACCCAGCTCTCCGTGGGTGACCGGCTTTATCCACAGACGGTGGAGAGCACAGCTTCCACTGAAAATGTCTCATCTCATTGCTCTGAACATATCTAACTCTGCAGCTGACGTGATCAAAGACCAAATTAGAACCAAAGTCAGGACGGACTCTGTAGATCTACAGTATAACTATTAACAAATAGATAATACTGTTGACAAAAATCTCTTTGAGGGCTGTTGATGATTACATTTTTAAAATCAGATTAATCACAGAGATGTGGATTAATCAAGTTAAATCAAGAGTCCCAAATATGGGAAAAAAAATGTAAATGTAAATTATATGGCTGGAGCAGAAAGGAAAATAACAGCAGGTAGAAGTGTGTTCACCAGTTTAAAAGTTCAATAAAAGCAAATTCTCATCTCAATGGATAATCATTTTGAATAATCATGATTTCAATATGGATCATAACAATAATCGTGATTATGATTGTTGCCCTATCAGAGACATACACAAACGCCCCTTGCTCGAACTGTAACTATTTCAAATATATGCCTTATCTTAATCCCTCTAATCTGACACTAATTCTAATCCTAACCTCTAACTAAAGCCTCAAAATACCCTCTGTACCTCAGCCTTCCCGCTCACTCAGTGGAAACCTGTAAAATGAAACCCACAAGGACATAGTGTCCCCAC